GAGGGTACAAATAAGACTATTATTAGAATAGGTGAGATTCAGGCTTTCCATTGTGGCTGAGAAAAAATCCAGGTGTTAAAAATCATTGCTTCACCTTTCAGTGCTGAGATTAAAACTATTTTTGCTCAATATGTCTTCATGCTATTTTACGCCTTTCTTCCTCCAGAGATAACAAAGTGTTTAATTATTTTTATGGTACTTTTGTCAAAGTATAATTGATATACAGTACTCTGCATACGTTTATTGTACTCAAATTGATAAACTTGGCATATGTATACCCAAGTGAAATCATTACCACACTTAACGGACGTGTTCATCATCTGCACATATTTGATGGACTTTCTGTCAGTATCAATTTATGGATTTTACATAAATTAAATCATGATGTATATATTTCTTTTTGTCTTTCTCACAGAATAATAAATTTTAGGTGCATTCATGTTGTTGCATGTATCAATAATACTTTTTTATTGCTAAATGACATCCCCTTATATACTGGTAGCTACACCACAGTCTGTTAGTCCATTCATCTGTTGAAAAATGTGGGCTTTTTTTGTGGTTTGCAGCTATGCAAATAAAGCAACTCTGAAATTTCATGTCTTCATATGGAAACTTGCTTTTTTCTCTTGGGTAAATACTTAGAAGCAGAATAGCTGGATCATATGTTAGGTGTATGTTTAGCTTTTTGAAGAAAGTATCAATCTGTTTTCCAAGATGATTGTACTATGTAGTATTTTATGTTTCTACCAGCAGTATATAGGAGTCACAGCTGCTTCTCAGCCTGTCAATGCTTGGTATGATTAATCTCTTTAATTTTGGCTATTGTAACATGTGCATAGTGGTATTACATGGTAGGCTGAATTTGCATTTCCCTGGTGACCAATGCTGCATAGAATCTTTTAATATGCTTATTTACATCCCTATATCTTCCCTGGTGATATGTTTATTCAGTTTTGCCCATTAAAAGGATGAACTGTTTTTCTTATTGAGTCTTAAATGTTCTTCATGTGCTGCAGCTACTTTCCCCAGTCTACGTTATGACATTTCATTCTCTTAACAGTGTCTTTTGCAAGAGAGAAGTATTTAATTTTGACAAAGTGCAATTTATCAATTTTTTTCTCTTACAGATTATATTTTTTGGTGTTATTTCTTTTTTTTATTTCTTATAGCATAACTGTGTACATTAATGCAATCATGGGGTACAGTGTGCTATTTTTATATACATTTTAAAATACTCTCATCAAACTGGTTAACATAACCTTCATGTCATTTTCTTAGTTATTGAGTTAAAACGTTCATACTCTGCCTTTAGAAATATTCACTTGTACCCTTGTAAGATAAACCATAGAGGTGACCGCACCAATCACCCTCCCTCTCCCCATCCACCCCCCTCACCTTCCCTCCCCACCCTGGAATTGACTCCTTATGGTGTTATTTCTAAGAAATATTTGCATAACCTGTGCTTACAAAAGTGGCCTCCTATGTTTTACAGCTTTATGGTTTACATTTAGGTCTAGGATCCCTTTTAAGTTCATTCTTCTTTGTGGTATGAGGTATGGATCAAAGTTTTTGTTTTGTTTTACATATGGCTATCCAATTGCCTTAGAAAAAATTTTTGGAAGAAAATTATCCTTTCTCCACTGAATTGTCTTTGTACCTTTGTCTAAAATTAGTTATGTATCTATATGTGAGTCTATTTCTAAACTCTCAATTTGATCATATTGGTTGATTTTTCTATCTTTACATCAATACCACACTGTTTGATTACTATAACTTTGTAGTAATTCTTTGAATAGTTTTTTTCAGGGATGTTTTGGCTATTGTAGGTCCTTTCTTTCCATTTACATATGAATGTTAGAATTAGTTTGATGTTTTTTGTAAAAAAAAATTCTTGAAATTTTCATCAGGGTTGCATTGATCTATAGATCAATTTACTTAGAATTATCATCTTAACAATGTTGAGTCTTCTGACTCATAGATGTACTATCTCTCTCTATTTATTTAGATATTTAATTATTTCAGCAAATTTTAAATTTGGTTTTCAGAGTTCATATAATTTATCAGATGCATCCCAAAGTGTTTTATATTTTGAATGCTACTATTTCATAAATTCAATTCTTGATGGCATGATTTTATTTTAGTTTATAGAAATATACTTGAATTTGTATGTTGATCTTATATCGTACAACCCTGAAAAAATTACTTCGTAGTTCTTGCATCTCTCCCCCCACTGCTGATTCCATATGATTTTATATATAAATGATCATGTTACTTGCAGATAAATTGAGTTTTATGACATGATTTCCAGTCTGAATATCTTTACCTTATTTTTCTTGTCTTATTGTACTGGTCAGCATTTATAGTAAAATATTGAACTGATATTGTAAGAGTGGATATCCTCATATTGCAGGGGTGTCAAATCTTTTTTTCTTTTCTGTTCCACTTTGGAAGAATAAGAGTTGTCTTGGGCCACACGTTAAATACAACAACACTAACAAAAGCTGGTTAGCAAAAAAAAAAAAAAAAAAAGGTCCATGCATGCTTTTCATGATATCTGGCACCACAAATAAGCAAAAACAAGTTCTCACAAAAGTCCCACAGGCTGCATGTTGGGACACCCCTATATGTTGCTTCTTATCTTAGGAAGAAAGCTTTTAGTCATTCACCCTAAGCATGCTATTTGTTGTTTACACACACACACACACACACACACACACAGACTGAGGAAGATTTTTTCTATTCTTAGTTTGCTGGGAGTTTTTAGTTTTCAATAAGAAATAAACAAGGAATATTTGACTGTATTTTTCTTAAATTGTGATGTTATAGTTTTATTTTGGCATCAGGGTAATACTGGTTTTATAGAAAGAATTAGGAAATATATTATCATCTTTCAATTTTCTGGAAGAGATTATGTACAGTTGGTACTATTTCTCCATTAAACATCTGATAAAATTCATTATTTCAGCCATCTGATTCCTGAGTTTTTTTTTTTTTTTTTCATTTGAGACAGAGTCTCATTCGGTTGCCCCAGCTGGTATATGGTGTCCTCAGCCCAGTACACAGCAATCTCAAACTACTGGGCTGAAGCAACCCTCTTTCTTCAATCTCCTAAGATGGAACTACAGAGGACTACCATGTGACCCCATCTATTCCATCTACTGTTAATAGAGACAGGGTTTGCTTAGGCTGGTCTTGAACTCCTGACCTCAAGCAATCCTCCCTCCTAGGCTTCCTGGAGTGTTAGTATTACAGGTGTGAGCTACCCAAGCAAATATTCTCTTTATGTAACCAGAAGATCTTTGAACAGAATGGAAGAGGGAATTGCTTTTCTACTAGGTAATTCAATGTACTTTAATGATCATGTATTACACGTTTTCAGTAATGCTATTGTCTCATATGGTGAATGCATATGAGCATATGTCTCATATGGTGAATGTAAGTTCCACAGTCAGAGAATCACTAGATTTTAGGCAAGAGTGGCTTGAACAAAGATAAAGAAATGTGAAAAACTTTGTGTTAAAATCCACAGAGGTTAGAAATTCCTAAAGTGGTAGTTCCAAACCTTAGTTGCATGTACTCGCCACTTAAGAGAGTTTTAGACTTAGACCAAATGAATTATCATAGGCTATAGTGTGTAGATCGGAATATCTATAACTTTAAAAGTTCTCTAGGTTGTTCCAATAATTGGGAAGGGTAGAAACCCCCTACAATAGGATATCTGTATGGAATATGACGGTGGTGGTGATGGTATAGATGGCCAGGCAGGAGAAAGATCAGATAGATTAGTAACGTCTGCTCTGAATGTGAATTGGTGGAATGGCAAAAATATTCGTAGCAATTTTGGTCTAGAATATGAATTGCCTGTCAAGGCCGTTAGGTATTACCTTGAAGAGCTGATGGTTCTTCCTTCCGTTAAGAATACACACCCATGAATTTTCTGCCTCAGATGCCTTTTTTGTTTAAAAGCCTTATGATCTTTTCTTACAATTAAAGGCAACGAATACATACTTCTACAATTCATTATAATAGCATATTTAAAGAGTGATCTAAATGACCTTCCCAATAGCTTACAATAGACACGTGAAGTACTTTTGAAACGGCTTTAACACAATTGCTGCCTATAAATAGTTGCAGAGAAGAGATTCATAACGACTTCTTTAAGCAGCAACATTTCAAACCCTGATAAACACAATCCAATTTTACATGTACAAACAGAATACACGAGAGAGAAAAATACATGATTGTGAATCAATCCTCTTAATTATTTATCCATTGTTTTGACACATTCCTAAAACCCATTTAAAATAAGGCATCTTTTCGATGGGTAACAAATTTGTAGCCTGCCATGCTGTGGTTCTGAAGACCTCACGTCGGAAATCGAGGGAGGGAGACCACAAAATGCAAATCTTCAAATTTGCTTAGAAGTGTGGAACTGGGGGAAAGCAGAACTTCAAATCTTGCTTAATTTAACAGCGGCAGTAAGAGAGACTGGGAAGACTGTTTTATAACAATACAATCGAGGAACTCAAGAGGAAGCAAGTGGGAGTAAACTGTATCTTTGAGGGAAGGGAAGAGACGTTTGCAGCGCGTCAGGACGGTTTCTGGTCTCCCACCTTCCCGACCAGCCCCCCGCCCCCCCACTCTCCGCCCCTGGCCCCCCTGGGCTTCAGCATTTGGCCAGTAGACCCGGTGGGCGGAGTAGCCTCTCCGGCCGCGCCTTCTCGGCTCCGAGGACACGTAGACTCGGAGCCTTAATGTAGCGCCCTGGGACTCTTAAGAGGCTCACTAGACAGCTGCGCCTCTTAGTGTCTCCTGCTCCCGGACACGGCTGTCCCAACTCTGGGGAGGAAGGCTGTCAAACTTTTGTCCTGTGTGAGTAGGAGGCACAGCGGGGACACGGCCAGCCCTTCGAGTCCCCTGCTCCGTCTGGGCGTCCCAGCTGGGTTAGCAGCGGACAGCGCACTTTCCGATTGCTACTCCTCGCCAGAAACTTCTCGGGAATGGAGTGTGGCAGCAGAGACAGCGGCGGGAGCGGCCGACCCCACCTGGCCCCGGGGCTGTTGGCTGCGGCGCCTCCGTCCCCATCGCTGGCGTTGCCAGTGCATTCGGGGATGTCCATTCCTCCAGCTTTCCTGCGGCCGCCCAGCCTCTTTCTGAGAGCAGCAGCCGTCGCAGCCGCAGCGGCCGCGACCTCCGGCAACGGAGGCTGCCCGCCGGCTCCCGGGCTGGAGAGGGGCGTGGGGTCGGTGGGCTGCGGCTACCCGCGGACGCCCAAGTGCGCCCGCTGTCGCAACCACGGCGTGGTGTCGGCACTCAAGGGCCACAAGCGCTTCTGTCGCTGGCGGGACTGCGCGTGTGCCAAGTGCACGCTGATCGCCGAGCGCCAGCGTGTCATGGCCGCGCAGGTGGCGCTGCGCAGGCAGCAGGCTCAGGAGGAGAGCGAAGCCCGGGGGCTGCAGCTCCTGTGTCCGGGGCTCCCCGGGCCCGGGGGTCCGGGATCCGGAGGCTGCGGCAGAACTGAAAATCCCCAGGCCGCGGGCGGCTCTGCTGCTGCGGTGGCGGCGCTGGGACCATGTGCCTTGCGGCAAGCTTGTGGTCTGGTGACCCCCGCTTTCGAGATTTTCCAGCAAGATTATCCTGAGGCAAAACAAGGTGAGTCGGTCCTTCATTTCCTTTTTGCACAAGCAAATGGTTGTTCCGAAGTGAAATTCTTTGAAGTAAGCAAGCGGTGCAGTGAAGGCAGGTAGGAAAAGTTTTATCTATCTATCTATCTATCTACCTACCTACTTATCTATTTATTTATATTTTTAATTTTGAAAGAAGCACTAATTTCGTTCTGGGAAACTGTTATGTGACATGGGTGTTGATGAGGGGTTAGAGACCCATCCCCTCCGCTTTGGAAGGGCTCCTTGTTGGTTTCCTTGGGCGACAGGATAAGATAAAGTAAAAGTAAAGCGCGGGTGATCACAAATAAGCAACTCGCCAGAGGAGTGGAGTTATTTGTGCACAAGTTGATTTGACTTTCTCTGTGTGCATAGAATTTCAAGTTGGCATTGAGCGAAAAGCGTAGTGAAAGGTGTTGTGTGTTTTGAGCTCTGTACTCTTTTAAGCTATAAAACTAGAGTTAGTCTGATCTTGACTAGGAGACTCACTACAGTTGGGGATGCAGTTCTTTACCTTTGGGGCAAATCTATGTCACCAGCTAAGTTGGGGGAAGAGAATGAAATCTATCAAAGTGTATTTTTCCTCTTCCTTTTTTTTTTTAAATCTTCTTGTAAAATTTATTTTGTAATACCATTGATAAGAATTTCAAAGTTCAACACTGGAGATTTCTTATCCAAGGAGTTTTAGTTTTACTCCTTTTTATTGACTGTAACTCAGCTGACTGAATAAAACTACCCCAAGTTAATTTTTCCTGCTTGTAAATTCTACTGTATTTTAGTGAATTTCATAGCTTTCCACAGGGCCTTCTAGCAGTGAAAATGTCGTTTCAATATTTTTGTATAAGTCCAATACAGGTTGTAGTATATGAAATCATATACAATGATACATCAAATTATTAATTTCACAATATGAATTGTGAACACTGTAACAGGTCTTAACATTACAGGATATATTTTTAGCAAAACATACTATCTCGTATCGAAATAAAACACACTTGGTATGTCATTTTTGTGCTTGCCTATGCCAGTGTTTTTCGTGCCTTTTAGTTTATTTCAGTAGACAAAACAGACTTTAAACATTTCTCCTGAAAGATCAAGGAGTGCTGAAGAGTAAAGTTTTAAGTGAAACCGCGGCGAAAGGGAAGTAAAAGTCTGAATTCCTTAAACTACGCCAATAGTGAAATTTGGCTGACAGCTCCCTGCAAAACAGTGATATATGTAGTACTTTTGGTACTGCAGTGTTCCGGTTTATAGAACTGATTATTTTATTTTATTCTTTGTCTCAGACAACCCTCTATAAAAAGCAAACCAATTTTTGAATGGCTCTTCAATGGCTTTCTAAATTAACTGCCTCCTTTTTCACAATAGCTATGTGTAAGATAGCTTGTTTACGTATTCATTAGAAAAGGACTAGCAGTGATTTAGAAGTGAATATTCCTACACAAAAGAACATTATATTCAATAAAAAAGACAAACTATATGCATCCCAAAACTATAATGCATGGCATAATATACAGTGATAAATAGAATAGAAGAAATAAAAGCAGTTATAGGATTTGAGAGCACAGAGGATCTAAATGGTATGTCACAATATTTTAAAGGCACCTTATTTTCTAAATGGTTGTTTGTAACTGGTATTTCATTACAAATATTTTACTATACGCGCAACATAACAAGAAATTATTCTATTCATAAATTGTCATAGAGATGAGATTTCGATACTTCAAAGAGCATACTTAGTGAATCATCTTTTTAAGTAAAATGTCATGGAGGACCAGTGCCAATCTATCTCCCCTTGGCACACTTCCTTAGGGAAGTTTTATTGTGTTACTTAAAATTGAAAAGACTTTGTAATTTTGCAGTAGCAATGGCCTTTTTTTCATCATATGCTTTAGAGGGTGGCATTGTGACCCTCAAAGGGCCAAATAGTACACAGTTACTTTAATTTTAAAATACACTGTGGATGTCTTTAGAACTTAGGACTGCTTCTTAAAGAAAAGTGGAGAGAACATGATACTATTGCAAATCATGGTAAAAATCACTACTTTAGGAAGTACTTATTTTTCTTTAGCCAGTATTTGTACAGAAAACAGTGGACAGAAATACCAAGAATACCCCCTTGTCATGATTTACTCTTAATTCTAGATATAGAAAATATATCTATCAGGTAAGAGGAAATACATAAACCCAAATAGAAATTATTTAATGAATATGTGCATTGTTATCTTTCTGGTGTTAGCCTGGCAAAGGGGTATTAAAATATTTTTGTTTTATTGATATGCTCATCATGTTGAGATAAAAAAGCCAGATCTTGGTGTAAAAAAAATTTTTTTTTAAATTGCCCATAATATTAGAGGGCGTGTGACTGAACCAAGTGTCTAATATGTTGTTTTTAATATACTCTGAGGATCCATACAGATTGTTATAGTGTAGCTTATGATTTTATTTTAGAAACAGTATTGTTTAAAATCTTTTCTTGATACTCCTTAGGGAACTGTAAAATAAAGTACATCTTTCATGAAGGCTTCTGAAAAAATACCAAGTCTGTATCATTTCTCACATAAAATGAAATATGCAAGTTCTGATATGATTTGAGATTGATACATCAGTCATCATTACTGGTTTAAATTTGACATGAAATGAGTTTTTTTTTTTTTACATTATTCAAGTAACTTAATTGGAACTTCAGATATGAACATGAAAAACCAATTGTTGCAATTTAGTGATTAAGTAGAATATTCATTTTCAAATTAATGTTATTCTTTTCTTAGATTTATTACTTAAACCTAACCATCTTATTTAGTGATTTTTGTATGGTGTCACTGTGAAAAAAATCACTAAGATAACGAAACCTTGGGTTACATTTAATAAGATCCCAAACTGCCAAGATAGAACAGTGTGTTGTGCTGGTGTTTCTTATATTCACACTTTTGGTAGCAATAAACTCTCATCTTCTAAATCTTAATTACAACTGCACTTATATATCGTGTACCTTTGTGATTCTGAAATGACATAAGCAATAGCACTGTCCTACTATTGAGTTATTCATTAAAATGTCCTAGAGTACATAAATATCACTAATATAGAGGAAAGAATTATTTTATCTAGCCTTATTTTTGAGTGAATAGTAGTATGTTCTGGAAATTTTTTTCTGTATTTGATTCTTTTTTTCCCTTTCTTCTTCTTTTTCCCCCCTCTTCTTCAGGACAAAAAGAAAGGAAATGTGAGTCATGCCAGAGTGGACAAGAAGAACCCATCTCCAAATCCCATCAACTCTCCCTGAGATCATTGTCTAGGTCTAATGGTGTCACTGGGAAACAAAGCATCAAGTCATCTGTTTCAGAATGCTCAAACAAGCAGGATAGCATCTTATCTCCTTACCCTGGGGAGCAATCAGGAGGTGAAGAGAGTCCCAGGTCCTTATCATCCTCTGATCTGGAATCAGGAAATGAAAGTGAGTGTGCCAAAGACCTTACTTCTCCCAGAGCCAGCCTTCCCACAGTGTCCTCAAGACCAAGAGATCCTCTCGATATCCTTACTAAGATTTTTCCAAGTTACAGGCGCAGCCGGCTAGAAGGCATCCTGCAGATCTGCAAAGGGGATGTGGTCCAAGCCATTGAACAAGTTTTAAATGGGAACGATCACAAGCCAGACATCAGGGACCTAGCAAGCTCAGGAGAACTGGAAAATACAGCTTTGCAGAGAGCTTCAAGTTTTAGCCTAGCTGGAATCAGTTTTGGGACTCTAGGTAACAAATCAGCTTTCTCTCCTCTTCAGACCACGTCTTCTGCTTATGGAAGTGATTCAAGTCTCTACAGCTTAAATCCTAGACTAGGTATCAGTCCATTACGGCTGGCATATTCTCCAGGAAGAGGGCTATCAGGTTTTATGTCCCCCTACCTAACACCTGGGTTGGTGCCCGCCTTGCCTTTTCGGCCAGCTTTGGATTATGCTTTTTCAGGGATGATTAGGGATTCTTCCTACCTTCCCAGTAAAGATGCAATAACTGGTGGTAAATTGTATTCTAGACTGAATCAGGACCATCTGTAACGTATCGGGTTACTTTCCTTTTCTGAAGTCTTTCTAGAAGCATGCAATACACACACATCTGTTAAAATACTCCAATACATATGTAAGTGGATTACCAGGCCTTAAAAATGCTTTTTTAAAAGCAATGTAATAGACTTTTCTTTAGCAATTATTAAGCGAAAGAAGCATTTGAACATTATATGTGCCTTGAATAAAGATACGCCAGGAAATATTTTTACTTGAATGCTTTTTCTCGCTAAATTATCATTTTTAAAATTCTTATTTTAGAACTATACTTGTTTTTATTTTATTGAAAACTGGAGTTTATTGTTATAAAATATATTTCTGAGTGTAAAGCAATCAAGTATAATATAAATGAACCAAAAGGAAGAATTGAATAATTGAGGTATTTGTAAGTAATTACTATAGTCTTTTAGAACTTTTTCTTCTCTTTTTTTTCTTGTTCACAGAATAGAAGAAATTTATTCAAATTATTTTTAAAATATTTTAATTGAAGATAAGTGATTAGTAATAAACTTTCAAGAGATTTCATTTTTTAATTTTTTTCTGACTGTTGTATTTTTTATTCTTACCCAACATTTGTGAAACAAATGTCATTAAATACCATTTCTCTTCAAAGCTAATGTAAATTACACAATGACCTGTGAAGTAAATTTTATGAAATGAAACTCCGCCATCTTCTGGTCACTATCACTAATTGCATCTCAGTTTTGCAGACTTCATGAATTAGAAAAATGCCTTGTTACCTCGAAGTATAAGCGAACCATTTTTTGAAATAATCATTTTGGATCACGCTACATTAAAATGTTCACATTTCAAAGTACACATCTACTGTGGATTTAATTTTTAAATGCGCTTTCCTCTGCTCCTGGGGAAATATCCCTTTCCCTATATGTTTGGGACAGGAATATGGCAGCCATTCTCAAAGGTAAAAGTAATTGTATTCAGAAAACTAAAACAGCTGCTCACATAAATATTGACTGGGTCTAGATAGCTAATGCTGAATGCATTGAGGAGCAATATAAGATTTCCAAAGGGGGAAAATTGCCATTAAATTTTAGAGACATTCTTGAGATTTTAAAAATACTTGTTCTCCATCTGGAGCACCTGAAAGTTACTTATTTCAGTCAGTGGAAAGTCCCTGAGGAAACTACTCACAAACACTCTTATGAAATTTTCTTTACATGCCATCATTTGCTGAAGGACAGTTGCTTCATTGTTATTGTTAGGAATAAATGGAAACCCAGCTGTGGTAAAAGACAGGCAGTTGACGAATTAGAGGTGGTTTAAACAATTTGAGCAGCATGACTTACTAAATATTTCTTTAATTATTATCTTTGGAAAGATTTCTTCAGTTGTATGTATGTACGTATGTATATATGCACATGTGTAAGTATCTATGTAGACATAAGCTGAGGCCCTATTAATTCTATTATCATGAAAGTTCTTCTATGAAGCCAATAAAAATATATTTCCAAAGCATATTTTATCATAAAATATGTTAAATTTCCGCCAAGTATCTGATGTTGATTTAGGATGTAAACATATTTAATAGATGATGCATTAATTTTAGAGGTGTGAATGTGAGAAAACAGGTCTTGTAAAATCGTAATGAACTCAGCATTCATTTGTTATAAAAATTTTTATATTCTAAACCTAAATAGTACAATTCCTGGCAGTAGTTGATATTCAATTAATACATACTCAGTAAGAAACCATTTTATATAATGGATCTCTTGGAGACTGATAAAACTGAAGGACTCTACCAAATGGCCTACAGATACACAGTTTTGCATAAAATTTCATGGGGTTAATTTAGGTTAAAATCCTTGGTGATTCTTAAGTTGTTTCTATTGCATTAATGTGTTTACTGAATGTAAATACTTTTCTAAAAAGTATTAGATCCTACAGAGGATGCCAAGTATAAAATAATGTGCTCTAAAGAAAGGTACCTTATACAATAGAGATTGGTTTAAAATAGGAATTCTAGAGTTGCTGAATTATTTATGCAGTTTATATAATGATGTGCCTGTATTTGTTTGAAAAACTGAATTGCTTTTGAACTAGTAAGAACATTCGTTTTGGGCAGCATTCAATTTTTAAAAAATAATTTTGTGATCTTAAAACTTAATTTACATAGTGCTTTGCATATCCCATCCCCTTTATAATAATTTAAGGACTTAAATAATCACATAGATCATTTGTCTGACCTCTAAATAGTGTGTGAGGAAACTGAAACTCAGCAGTAGTGAGTTGCCCATCCCAAAGATTACCACTACACATCATCTGAAGTGGAGTTACTGTACTGACTTCAGCAATTTCAGATGATAAGGTCTGAGGAAGGATTCATGTCCATTTTGTCCATTCACAGCTTTGTACAATGTCTAACACATGGTGCTCAAATAATAGGTTTCCACTGACTGAATTAAATGAAAGAAAGTATTAGCTTAGGAATTCATTCATTCGATACCTGTTCATTAAACAGCTACTTTGTGCCATAAACTGTGCTACACAAGAGGTATAAGGAGATGATTAAAATTAAAGATCTGGCCTCAAATTGTTCATCGTCTGTATTTCCATGTGTATAAAAGCAAGCAGTCATGTCCATAGTTGCTACTATTTAACAAGTTTGGTACCATCAGTGAGTTCTTTGTAATCTTGAGGTTATGCCCAGGATGCTGCTGGAAGCCTGAACACCTAGGCCACTAATTAGGGGTGGGCAGGAAAAGGTCTGAATGTTTTAAGAGCTAGTATAAGACACAGATGAATTAGATTTATTCTGTATCATGTGGAGGGCATAGAAGATAAAAATTTTGTGGAGAGAGAATTCAAAAGAACATATAAAAAATGACTTTTCGCCATTAACAACTGTCTAAGAGTAGAATGGGCTGCCTTATATGATAATGTATCTGGCACTCATTGAAAATACTACGTAGAAAAAACCAATCAGAGATTTAGTTGATGGGATTTGTCATGACTGCCTTAGTATTCACACTGAATAATTTATTGGCTAATCAGAAACATGATAATTATTTATTAAATGAATGAATTTCAATTCTAAGGCCATGAAAATGAAAATACATAACTATTTTATCTGTCCACCAAACACAGTGCAGTTTTGCTCATCAGAATTTTTCTTATGTGATAGAAACTCCTAGGAATTGTCAGAAAAGGAAAAGATAGAGCACAGTGCATGATTTATATTATATGCATGAGGAAAGAGATGAGGGGTCAAAGAGAACATGGTGGTTTGCAGCAAGTACAAACCAACATACCTCCCTGGAAGGAGCATTTGCTTTGGATTTGAGGAGACTTAGCATGGACTTGTTATCTATGACTTGGGCAGGTTACTTATACTCTCTGGATATCTGTTTCTTCTCAGTAAAACAAAGATAATACTATCTAACTTGTGAGATTTTTGGAGGTAAAAGAAAGCTTAAATAAAGGGCAGAGTACAGTTATGCTTATTGATATGCTGGATACTAAATAAATCTCGCTATTGGTACTTTGTATTAAGATACTATCTTTGACCCCTGGTGGCAATCGTCCAGCATTGTAATTGTATTTAATCCAGTGAGTGAGTGTAGAACCCCAGAGGGCTGCCATCACCAGAGGAACATGCAGGCTTAGAGACTTCCTGTCTGATTGTTCATTTCACAGGTGAGCCACACTTTCCAACATATTGAATACGTTAGAAGAAAATGAACAGCAAGGCCACCGTTTTTTGTTCATGCTGCATTTTTCAGTCAGAATCAGTCAGGAAAACAGACTCCCTAGAAGTATATGTGGAAATAAGAGAATGACAGAAATTTGAACTAACACAAATAAAAGAGGATCTGGGAATCGAGTCAGAAAGAGGGAAACCACAGATCAGAGAAAGAGACACTAAGGAATTTGCCTGCAGCACTGGTGTGGATAGAAAAGCGGGAACTTGCCGAAAATCTGTGACGCCCAGCATGTCCATTCACTCATACGGTTCCCAGGTAGGGATTTTGAAAGGGTCTGTGGGAAGCTAGTGTCTCTGTGTAACGACTAGCTCCGTGGGGTGTGAGTCAGCACCCGGTGGTGGGCCTGTACCACTGCAGGTGAGCGGGGTCTGTAGGCAGGAAGAAAAGCAGGATGTGGAGTAAGGAAAAGTGAGGCCAGCCTGGAAATCCCCGAGTACCTGACCTTGATGGCTTCCGTCTGACATCTACTTTACAAGTTTCACCATAATTCCCGCTCTCACTCTGAACAATATGGGAAGTGGGGAGGTTCTGGGAGATGTAGGTCCGGGTCTTAGTCACACTGCCTTAGCCTAGTCCAGTAAAGGGTACTCCTTGTCACACTCACTTATAGTAACCATATTTATTTCCAAATAAGGGTAAAAATAAAGTCATTCTTTTACCTAAAGTTGATACAACAATCTTCTGTAAATATAAGTGTGCTAACCTCCACGCCAAAAGAGGACCCCACACAGTCTCTTATCTATATTTGGGTTTGGCTCTTTCTTTTTACCTAGTCAAAACCATCTTTGAAAATCCTATAACATTCATCCTGATATATAGGTAACCACTATTAATAAATGTTTTGTTATAATAGGGAATTTGGAAAAGGGGGAAAGGGAATATTTTTATTTTAAAGGGAATATATTTACTTTGAAGCAAGGAAGACAGAAGTGCCCCTATCTACTAGTGCGTTCATGTTGGGTCAGGGGACCATAACTTATCATGGGATCACAGATGGGATTTTTAACTTTCTTCTTCCACTACCTATTTGATATTTTTCTTTGCTCCCAGAAAATGTCTCAGTTAATTGTGGGTTCTTCCTTGGTAGAGTAATTCAAATCCTCATTCCTGAAGTGTATGTGCCATTAAGAGTCTTGCCTCTATTAGGCTGTTGCAGTTTTCCACAAATTTTCACCACAAAATATTGGAGGACTAAGTGACACACTGGAGGACCTCCTGCCTACTGGAAATTCTGCTCCCTGCCTCTTTCCTGTTGTTTCAGCGACTTGAGGT